GGGATATGTGGTAAGGTAGAGATGCAGTTTATTTGGCTTGCTTTTTAATGAGTAATTAGACAATGAAGATGGTATTATATATCTTAACATGTTATATATTTTCTGAAAGCTTATTATACAAACTTTGTACAACTTGTCTTTATTTTAAATATCCAGAATGCGTTTTTGATTTTGGGTCAAAAATATGTTTTTTTGGGCAAAAGTGGTTTGTGGGTGAAATTACATCACTGGATACCTTGGTATACTACTAATTCAAATGCGTCCACTCATCTCTCTAACGGCTTTCAAAGTCGCACAGCATGACCTCAAAGTTCACTCTTTTCTATTTTTGCATAATTTATATATCTATATTAATTGCGGACTTGTTATTTTTGTTCCACTTGCCGTAATATACTGTTCGGACGCATTTTGAAGGGGGAATGGAATTCACAAATAAACTGCATCTCTACCTTAAAACGATATCACAAAATATGATCGAATACAGTATGATGAAATTATTTGCACGTATCTGTTAATCGACTTAAGTAGCTGATTACTAGTGAATGGCTGTGTTATGTCTGTCATTGTTTCGGCCCATTTGAGGTTCTGGACGGAACTTGGTTCAGTGATTTGGAACTAATTACGAGATAACCGTCGCTATTCGGACTACTATTTCTGATAGTTGGTATTCGCAGTTAATGTAGTGAACGATTAATCAAAAGATATGACGTGTTCAGTTCTTAGTGTGATTGGCTTTATGATTGAAGGTTACGCCCTAGAGTCTTTTTACTGCTTTGTAATTGGTTAAGGTTTTGAAAGTGACTAAAGTTGTTTTAGTTGGTCTTGGCGAGTACACCACGACAGACGCAGTAGAGTCTTAGAGAGTCTTGGGGCGAGTCTTGACGCAGTCTAGAGAGAGTCTTGGGTCAGCTATGCGATAGTCTTGGGGACTTTTCCCCAGGGCGCTGTTTTATAGAGTGCTCGACTGACCGACTAAGACGAGAGTTGAAACGTATTTCGTTGTGTGTGTGTCTATTTGACTGTAAAGTTTAAGTGACTTTCCCGATCCCGCACCTCAAGGGGACGCGATAGAGAGACGAGACGATATTCCCCCTGACACATGTGGGGAAACCCAGAGGAGAAGAATATTTCTCCGTGATAACAGTAACACTTCATTGATTTGGGGTAACACCAAATTGTCAATAATATGGTTTTAGAAACGTGTAAGGTGCGTTTTGTCACTGATTTTGCGTATATACATGTATGATTATTTCCATGTAAGTCAGTCCCAATGTTTTTTTTTCAATTTGAGCATTCCAAGTTAAAATGACCTGTCTCTAAAATTTTGTTTATATCGCCTCTTTCAAGGGATATTCGAATGACAATCTCAGTGGTAAATTTGCTGAATTCATGGGATGGATGATAACCAATGCGTTCTACGTGTATTGCGGATACTGTCTCGTTTGCCACATGACAAGCAACTTCAAAACTTTGACGATCATAGGATCCAGGTATTAAATCATTACATCTATCAAATATTCATATTTTTAGTTTTTATTTATATAATACGCAATGCATAAAAACTAACCACTACGACATGACTGCAATGCATCGTGTCTGTTAGATGCAGTTATAGATTCTATTCATAATCACGAAATCAAATAAACGTTTCAATGCGTGACATAATTATGAATGTTTGCACTTTATAATCACATTGTTCACCGATTTATTTACTAGTATTTTTATTTACAGCAGTACACATTCTGTTTTAAATACTGGTGATCTGGTGTTATATGTCACGCATTGGTCAGCAAGAACATCTGAAAGTCGGCGATATTGTATGTGTGATAGATAAGGAAAGGGGTTACGAATATTACATGCAAAAAGTAACCAAAATCTATCGGCCAAGGTAACAAACCTTTTGCTAGCAGTTTATTGTTATTTAATAATGATTATGTTATGCAGTAAAGTGCAATACATTAATTACTGGTAAAATTAGCCAGATACGAACACAATTTTCTTAGATTATTTATTAATTGCAATAAATGCTTTCCACATTTGCGAAATGTGGGACGGTGTTTCAAATAGAATATCGTTTGTAATTCTAATTATACACTCTGTGAATGTACTCCCCAAGACATCGGGTAATATATAAGCCGTAATATGGATATATTTGTACTATGATTTATTAACAGTGAGACAGGCAGTCCTTTAGTAGAAATCCAATACCAAGCAGAAAAAGATGATAAATTACAGCACAAATCGTTCAGCCGAAATGAACTACATGGAAAACGTGTCTTCAGTATACCCTATATTGGATTACCGTACGTGTTGGTTCAAAGATATCCAGTAAGTGTGTTTGTTTGTATCTATTCTTCTTTTATTCGTTCTTTTTCATTTAAATGTTATTTATTTATTTATTTATTTATTTATTTATTTATTTATTTATTTATTTATTTATTTATTTATTTATTTATTTATTTATTTATTTATTTATTTATTTATTTATTTATTTATTTATTTATTTATTTATTTATTTATTTATTTCAGGGTTATCTTGTTTTCATCTATTTTCTGTGGAATGTGTTTAGCAAATTCTGTTACCAATATGAATACTGGTGTGATCTGACTGGTTATATTGTATTATCATTAGAAGCGACATTCGTCAATATACATATATACCTTTAGCTATTAGGTTGAAGCAAAATTGTATTTTTTTTCATTTATTTAATTTAATTAGTGATACGTAATTCAAAACACATGCGCAATTGTGTAAATTTTGAAAAACATTTTCTGTTTACATTATAATATCACGAGTCTGAATCTAACCATCTCATTGACTGAATCCCGGTGTGAAATCTGGTACTAAATAACCGATTCTGTCCCGCCATTTTTTCCCAATTAGGTTACAACAACGTAATTCATATGTAGTATGTTTTTTTTTCTTGGCCCTGTAGAATAGGTACTATTATGTTAAATACTCATTTACACACATATATTTTTTAATCTGTCATATCTGTTATGTTGTCATTATAATTTACCCTATTACTGTTTATTATATCACGTTTTACTTGTTTTATAATTATATCACTGCAACGTCATACGTGGGAACTCCAAAGTTAAGTCATGGAATCCTTTGAACATCTTAACAAATTAATTTCATTAATATTAACAAGAAAACATTACATGATGTCATAAATATGCACATCCATGTAACTGGGTTGAATATAATATTTTTGTGACGCAATATACTATGTTGAATTACTATACATTACTCTATGTTGTACATTTGTCATAATGGCAAAACATTGTACATACGTGCTTTTGGGGCACAAATTGTAATTAAATATTCAGATGAATCTACAATTAAGTGATATACTCATCAATATGCGTGAATGCGATTCTGGGTGAACATTATTTCTGTTTAATAAATCCAAAACCAAATCAAAGTTTAACACTTTACTAAGTTTGAAGCGGGAGGGTTGTCATCTGCGCACGCGCGGGAATTGAGTCTCAAGCGACGATAAC